GCATTGCCGCGTATACTCGTATGTGGTAATAGTGAAGCACAATACCCAGCTACAGATTCATCAATCGCCCCCAGCCCATGCTGTCTTTGGTCAAACTAACTGGCCCTATTTGACCATTATATTGTCCTGTGTTATGAGTAACACATGGGGTGCTTGGCAACAAGTGCTGGCAGAAGGTTTGAGGAATGACCCATGTAGGCCATGGTCTGCTGCACACTGAAGCAGCCATTACCACTGACAAGCAGCACCTATCTTGCTCATTAAGTGTTGAGCCTTTCAACTCCAGTTCAAGCAATAACACTGAGGTTTGAGACTCAGCCAAACTTTCTTTTTTTTAATTACTGCATGAATGTATATTATGTTGATAAAATGCACATTATGACATAAAATTACAATGTTGCCTCATTTGGGATAATAACAGCCTCTTTTCTGTGACATTTGTGGAATAAAAAAATGACAATAGATGTAAGTGTACAGCAACTACATTAAAGGATGCAAGATGTGCAGATGTAAGATGATTCAGAAGCTAACCTATGCAGTGGTGTTTTTATTTTAACTGACTCGCAGAACAGTTCACTCTTCCAGTAGTACCTTTAAGAGTATGGTGTCAGACTCCATGTCTGGATTAAGAAAGGCAAGTAGAATTTCAGTTTCCCTTGTGAAAGGTGAAAAAAAAGTTGTGAAAAGTAACTGTGACAAAGGTGACAGTAACAAGTGTGAATCTTGCAAGCTTGCAGACATTAGATGGATACTTGCGGTCTTTAGTGTCTCATTATATAATCTGAAATGAACAAAACCAGTAGAAGAAGAAATAATCGAAAAACAGCAACTTCCTTCTTTCTCCCTTGGTGCGATACTGGCATCACATCTGGAAAAATACATAAAAGATAACACAATGGATCATTACATTCAGTTTTATAATAAAAGTGGTGTTCTGTGTACAACATGAACAGCTCAGCATGCGCAGTACATGCAGTTTTCAAGACCACTCAGAAATGTAGATGACTAACAAAATCTACAAGTTAAGATAACATTTTATAAATCCTGAGGGAAATTCTTGTGCCATCCACAAGATAATTATAGTGCCATTATGTACTGTAACTATTACTTACAAACAACAACTATGTCATTGGAAAGTGAAACAAACAAACAAAAAAAAAACTGATTTCCATAGATCCGAAAACACAAAGTCTATCATGCCTAAAACCAAATTCAAATCTTATACTTCCCCATTGTGACCAGCAGCAGGGTGGTATGAATTGTATGCAAAGGGTAGAAGTGTCATTTCCAGCACTGCAGCTGTTATAATTTCACCCATGTGAGTAAAGAGCTAGGTTTTGCAAAACAAATTCCATTTGCCTACAGATCCTGACAGAGACTACACATGAAGGCACTTGTTTTACATGTTAGTGGTTTAGCCAAAAACAAGATGGTGGTTTGACTTCATGTTCTTTGATTCACATGCAAACTAAGAAAAGAAAAACTATCACCATGTAAAGAGACTATGGTGCAGAGCTGAACCTGTTCAATTTCATGTGTTGACAGTTTCCTGTTGTTAAGCATGAGAAGTGACAACAGGAGAGGACTGTTTAAAATCAACAGAAAGTTTACTGAATGTCTGATCACAGGTAGGCCTTACAGCACTGGGATCAGAGGGATAGAGCTCCCACAGGAGTTCCATCCACTGACCCCGAATTAAGTTCTTACAATACATTTTATCTTCTTGGGCTGCTCTGCACTGGACAGAGGTACAACATTCAACGGCTTTTGGATCCTATTGTCCATTTAGTGTGAACCGGAGCTCCCCCTTGTGAGAATGTGGTAAAGTTTAGGTATGTGTGTGTGTGTGTGTGTGTGTGCGCGCGCACGCGTGTGTGTCTCTCAGGTTGTAGCCCCCCTGTGTATGTAAGACTCACATCTTACACTGTGATTTTAATCTCTTTAAGAGTTAAAGATGCAATTTCCTTCTTTTGTGCTTTCTATGTACATAGGAACCAAGCAATGGACTCAAGTCACCTTTGAAGGGAAATATCCTGATGTTAATTATAGATCAAGTTGTCTTTGCTGAGTGCATAATGATAGAATATGATAAAATAGACACAGATTTGCTGTTCTTCCATTCATTCAAAGTGTAATGTTTTTCAGTGCCAGAAAACATGTGTATACAATTTTCCACGAGGTCTTTGAATTAGCCCATCATTTAACCAGACTAAATGTTTCAGTAATTTGTGAAGCTGATGCATCTAATACAAAAGCCCTTTCTTATAAAGGCCAAGCACTAAAATTTTATTACCGCAGCACCATGCACTATATGCTAGCAAGAAAAGCTGCTCTCTCACCAGTCACTTTCATGCAACGTATTTTCTAGTGGCCTTTTTCCCATCTACAAGAAGGGGAGAAAGGATGGGGTTGTTGAGCCTGATGTAGAAATTATGTAAGAAAGGGCGCATTTAACAGGATCACAGGGTTCAGATGTCACCGCCACAAAGGTACCATGGTGGAGAGATGGATGGTGAGGGGTCAGGTGAGCACAAAGACAATGGCCAACAGCTGTGAATGGGGAATACAAGAAGTGGCAGGCAGGTGGGGAACGAAAGGACAGAGCAAAACTGGATGTTAATGTGGAAAAGAAGGTTGTTCCCTCTCGAGGAGAGAAAAGCATTCCTCCTGTTGCTGAAGGTTATCAGGTTGCAGGGTGAGAGAGGCCTAGAAAGGGGAATTCAAAAACAACTGGACTGTTTCCAAGGCTTCAGTAGCAATACCTATTAGCGGCATGGATCTAAGGATGTCATTCAATGGTCTGTTGGTTGATGGGTCAGGCTTTAACTATTAGATAAACTGCTGGAAACCTTCATACAGACATTCATGGAGAGACCATGTGAACTATGTATGAGGTCCACATTTGTGTTCTTGAGTCCAAAAACTGCTGGATGAATATGTAAAACCGGTAGATTCATGTCCCCCTCAAAATAAACTGTAATCACAGAGGTGATCATGACTACATTCTGAACATACTTATAAAACTAGGGCCATTGCATTTAGTGCTAAATAAGTGGTCAATAAGGTGAGCATGTAGAATTCATTGTAAGCATTCAAACCCTGACAAAAGCATTAACAACAAATTACATACACAATATTTCTAAACTAAAAGCAAATAAACTTATAGAAAAATGTTACCCTGCTGTGGCTAATAAATGAACGAGGCCAAAAAGAGGGCATACTGTATATGCTTTTGGTTACCTTTGCAGAACTACAGTGCTTCTCTGCTTAAACTAATCAAAATAGATAAAAGAGCAGCACAACTGAACAGTGTCATGCTTAAGTAACCCTGGATATTTTCTGCTTTGTCATATACCTGAGCTAAATATCATCATAATCAATAAGCAAAATGTCAGCGAGTATAAATCACAGAAAGAAAATCATCTGTGGTGTGCTGAAACGTATGCTGGTTCATCACTCTAGTAATCATGACCTTAGAGTATCAGTGTTAACACTTACTAGTTGGATTGGAACCCATGACCTTTTTGCTGTGAAGTGACAGCGCTAATATCGTGGCACCCTCCCATAACCCAATATAAATGGAAATGCAATCAAACTGCAGCTGGCCCATAGGAAAATATTAAAGACTAAAAAGTGAGTTGTTGCAACTGTCACTGTATATTCTTTCATGTAAAAGCTAATCATAAAAAAAATTGCTTGTAGAATACTGGACACTGAATCTAACCAGAGAGGGTCAAACTGTCACATGAAAAACATGCTCGGTATTTGAAGTGTTGGATTTACTCTGGTCACAGCAGCAACAAGATTCATCAACTGTGCATTTACATAAACATGAAAAGCAAAACGTAAATTATTCTGTCCTGCCAACTCTCATGATCTTGTACTTGCCGTGGTCTAACACTTTCAGTGGCTTCATAAATACCACAGCCAACACAGTGAGCATCTAGTCTGACCCTGAAAGCCATTTTCTTCCAACAGTCCTGATACAGCATTTTAACAAAGCTAATGTACAGCTAATGCTTATTACTCATTTACAATAAGATAAAGTGTGTCCTAAGCCTCCTGTTTAAGTCATAGTGTTGTTACCTGAGTTTCTATTTGGGGCAATTTTCTTCTTGATAAGAACAAGTTAACAGTTGTCAAGTAATAACAGTGACATAAAACTGACCTTTAAATCTACAGCAAGAATTGCACACATAACCCTACATTTATTTAGCGTAATGACTAAGGGACCACAGGGCTTCTGCCTAATATGTCTTGTGTGACATTTCACAGGGCCAAGAGAAAAATATTTGGTATGAAATGGGCTTAGCTCCTCCGACCAAAATCAAAAATGATCTGGTTGAAAATCTGCTTTTTATGATTATCGGGCAAGTGTGTCATAGTCAGCTTTCAACAGCTTCGTTCTCAGTTCCTCCCTTAACGGATGGGCTTCCATATTACAGTACCAACCTTTAATTATTCACTTGTGGTCGCTTGGAAACTCAGCTGGAAAATAAAGCAAATCCATTGGACCGGCGACACAGAATAGCACTATGACCTCTCTGTTGAACCCTGGCCCATTGTCCATTTGTCTTCTACTGCTGGTTAGAGTGAAACTGAATCTGATGTGGAGATTATTTCTTCATGTATAAAACTCGTGTCTCACACAGTACAGGTCCATAAACAGCACAGTGGTGCATGTGCAGTGCTTGAAGAGCTGGTTCCAGTGCCTTGTATTGTGCAAAATGATATCTCTGCAGTGTAACCATCTCTATTACAGGGGGAAGAGATTGTCTTACCATTTGGATTTGCTTCAGAGAGCACAACAAATGAGCGTGGGCTGCTTGGTCTGGACTCGTAACTGCCTCACATACCTATCCACAAGAGAAAGGCAGGAGCTATAGGACAAGAGTTAGCTAAAAAGTAACTAATTAACTTGAGTGATAAAACTAACTGATAATCATACAGTAACTACTGTCATATGATAAAAAAAAAAACATAAGACCAAGGACCCCTGAGAGCTTTCTTTTCTGCTCTGCATTATTTTATTCATTGTTTAAAAAAACCCAAACACAAAACAGGAAATCCGCTACATACTGTAATTACTGTTTATTGTAATGCATTCATTTAACAAATCTTCACACCATATACAGTAGACATGTCCTTAACAAAAACAACAAGTGTCAGTTTTTCTTTTATTTTTGCATGGTGTCCAAGCCCTTTGAAAAGTCTCATACGTCCTGACAATATGGACACTTAAAAATTCAGGAAGCACTCTGGATTGTTGCAGAAAGTGACCTAATCTCTGCCGTGGAAGGATGTGGGAAGAGCACACTGACAGATTCAAAAAAGAAAAAGGAGAACATTAATAAATAAATGTACTAAAATGACCATGTTTGGATTTTGAGGTCATTTGGGAATTTTATAAGATCGCAGCTGCTGCAGAAATTGCTTTTTATTCTTTACTGTACCAGTAGAAGAAGTAGAAATTATACATGAAGTAGTAGAAATTATATAACGTCAATTGCTACATAAAAATGAGAGCAAGAGGGTTTTTTAAGCTGTGGCTGGCAACAGTTTCAATTATGTTTTACACTCAGCTGACAGCTTGTTAGATACATCTAATGAAAAACAACTCAGTCTAATCCAAAGGATCTGCAATAAAGCCTCTCCTTCATGAAGATCATAATGTTCAGTTTTATTGAAAATGTGTTGATTGTGGAAGCAGTAGGTTGTGGTGATGTTCAATTGTATTGCACTGGGTTTCTATTATTTTGTCCACTCCATTTTTATCAGTGAGGCAAAGCTAAATAACAAGAACACCTCTGTATAATACAGTCCAGTTCAACACCACCACACCTATCACCATGAAGGGAGGATGTACCGCACGACTGTTGTATGAGACTGTATTAAGTTTAGCTAAGCGTAACTATTAAAGTGCCAACTGAGTGTTTATGCACGTAAAAATGGGGGAGACAAGAAAACAGAAATCATTTCTGTACAGTCTATACTTTCATCTTTATTATATAATTCAAAACGAACCTTATAAATAAGAATTTTCCATATCAAAATAGAAACACTGTCCGTCCACTGCATACACACTTATGTTTGAGATGTGATTATTAATGGGGATGAAAAAACATCACATTTATTTACCTGCCAACGTAAAAACTTTACATTAATCTCGTGCCCTGGGTGGTTGGTAGTACTGTTGTGTGGGCCTCGTACGTCTTGGCTGTCCATCTCCCCCACGGCGAAACTCTAGTGAACTGTCGTAGCAACCATCATCTTCCTCCTGCCATTGCACATTTGGTATAGTTGCGATGTTACTGTGTGCAATCACATGAGATGCCATTCATATTTCATCACTTATCCTCAGCCCTTTTGAATACAGCTTAATTTGTTGCATCCACTTACTACTCACTATATTCTGATCTAATAATAAGAAATGATAAAACCTATTGCTTTCTTTCTCCTTACCATTGCATCAGCTGCAACAGGTTTGATGTTATGCAGCAGGACTTCTTCACAGTTTCCATAATCACTAAATACAACCACAGCCGTGGAGCCTGATGGATGCACAGCATCTATTCTGGCATGGTAGAACTTCACACACAGAAACAAACAGATATCAAATTATTTTATTACAAAAACACTTTCACATGTCAAGATAAAACTAATTGATGTCTCTTACTGTAATTACAACATGACAAACAAATCTAAGACACTGTCAACACTGTGACTGACAAAAAATGAGTCAAAACTGCACTAATTATTGGCATCACTGTCAAGACAAAGACAACCACAACTGACATTTCTAGAATTCTACAATGTCTGTCAATGAGTTGACACTGCAACCTAAATGTGGCTCCTAGTTGTCCAGTTTGTTGCAGTTGCTGCAGAGTTTACATGTCACATGGGACCTTATTTGTGTAGCTGGCTTTTGTTTAAGTAAATGTTCTTTAACTTAACATAGAGTAAGTAGAACATAAACATATTTTAACAATTATCAGCTACTGCTTACTGCTATGTTAACCATTCCAGGAGTGACATACCTTGCTGTCCTCCCAGTACAGCGCCAGGCACCGGTCACCAGGCTTCCAAGCATGTTCCACGATATGACTTTTCTCTGGTCCTCGAGGACCTTGACCTCTGATTTGTCCCGACCTTCTTTTAGATCCTGGGTTATAAGTTGTGTTTTTCTTGGGAGGTGGTTCCCTGGTGGGGGGACAAGATGGGTTTGTTGGCTTGATTGGCCCAGTTCTTTTGTGTTCCATATCTCCATTTTGGAAATGGGAAGGATCCCCTGTCATGGTTCGAGACTCACATGATGACCCCACTTCTTGGGATGTCCCTGAGCTTCCTCCCCTTGAGTTAAAATTTGGTGGGCCACTATCTCTTTGTCGGTCAAGATGGTCTGAGTTTGGCCGATTACTCTTCCCCTTCCTCCTGCTGCTGTTGGGGTCTTCACTTCTGTCAGTCCGTTTATTATTTCCTCTTCCATCCAGCTCACTACCTGCAGAATTAGCCAGTTTAGATGTGGGTACACTGTCTTTTACCCCTTTCCTGTAAGACATTCCAGGCATGCTCCCAGCACCACCATCTCCATTTCTGGACCGTTGATTATAAGAGCCACTAAACTCCATCTGCTGCTGAGGTTCTTTTGAACGTGTGAAGGTAGATGTGAAAGAAGAGGGAACCATGTGCTCATCCCGCATCTCTTTCCTGTCATTGTGTGACCTGTCTGATGGGCCTCGTGACCACCTTTCCTGGCCCTTCCACTGCTGGGCTTGAGCTGATGCTTGAGAGGTAGCAGAGTTAGAGAGAGGCTCCTGGCCAGGTTTAGGAAATTCAGTGTCCTTGTGGAAACGAGGTGGTCTGTCATTCCTTTGTTGCCTATGGTCATTATGTGAGGAGAACTTCTGAGGTGTGTCTTTGGAGTAATAGCCTGAGTTGGAGAAACTCACTTTACTCTCGTGATGTCTCTGGGGTGCTTGGCTCTTTGGCTCTGGAAAAACAAGCCAAAAAAAAAAAAAAAAGAGCAGCATAATCACAAACTATGGAAAAACAATAATGGATAAATAATAGAATGAATATTGACAAAATCACATTATCATGTGCCACACACTGTTACTGAATAAAATTTTAAGACTAACAAAAACATGAAGGCCACAGTAGTTGATAAATGACAAAAAATATCAATAAGAAAACTTCATCCTTCATCAAACACAATCAAATAGTAAAATATATATTATCGCATATGAGGCAGTTGTTCATGTCCACTTTCTACTACAGCCCCGTGCTTCTACAATAACCCTGATTTCAGGCATTAGAGATCATGACATAATCCCCCTCAGCTCATGACAGCCAGATAGCCATCTGTCAAACTATTCATGACCCTGCCCATGTTGACCTTTTACATTATTGTTAGTACATTCTTACCACAGGACTGGATAGAAAAAGTATACACATCATCCATATTTAAAATCACAGAATGTGTTTCTTCTTAAAATGCATGAAGTAGAAAGATCAAGCTTGATGGTTATAGACCTGAGACAGGTTTCAAGGCAGCCTACAATGAAATCCGGATCGGTACACTCACCATCAATGGAGAAAACTCCCATCTTGGATTCCAGAAAGTCAAATAGAGTGCTTGGTCCAGATGGCCTTCCCCCTCCTCCCTCTTCCTCATCTTCATTTCTTGACCTGCCTCTTCCCCTTCCTCTGGCTGAGAAGAACCCCAAAATAAGATAACGTAGATCCAATTAAAAACAGTCTGATCAATGAAAGTGAATGTTTGAACGTGTACAGCTTACAGCCCTGAGTATCTATGTCTAAGGTATATGTGACAAGGCTCTACGTAACTGGGTGTGTACAAATGTGTGTGTTCATTTTAAACCTGAACCCAACTGAATCTGACATCTTAGTTTTGCTCAACTTGAGTAAAAGTACAGGGAGCACATTTAAAATCAATTCCTGCTCACAGCTGTTGCACCACAAGATGAATAAAGGCAGCAGGTAGTCTCAGTGGGATGGACCACGTTTCAGGTTGCTAAGTTGATTTTAGGTGCTGAAACAAATACAAAACAGTGACTGCAGGTTAAGTGGGATATCTATGTGAAAACTTGTGGTGCTCGGGAAAACAGTCGTCAATAAAGTGTGTGCCCAGTTTGTGGTAAATGGACTATAACAAGCAAAACCATGATTGTGAACCCTTAACTAAGCTGAAGGTGAATTTTACTCAGTTTAAGGACCTCCGCATCATGCCTCCAATCTCTTTCTTACTACGTGAAAACACAGATCATTTCAGGCTATGATGAAACCAAAGCAGGCAGCAGGTGTGTGTGTGTGTGTGTGTGCGTGTGTGTGTGTGTGTACCTCTGGGTTGGGGTTTGTTACACTCAGGTACCAGAGGACCAGGTCTGCTACCAGTCAGTAGGCTATTTAGTGCTGCTTCAAAGTTGTTATTATTATCCATCAGAGCCTGCCGAGCAGCCTCTCTGTTAAAGCCCATCTCAGTGATGTCCCTCAGTGCACGTTCATCTACCTACACATAAGACGTGGTAAAAGAAAAGAAAATAGAGCAAAGACTGGATGGAGAAGGTACGAAATGCAGAGCAAGTGGCAGCTTGATGATATCAGTTTGATGTGTGACTGAGAAAGATGAAGTGCATCCACAAATAATCTGCCCTTTTAAGTGGACCACATTTTCTTATGTTAGATTAGTGTGCATTCAAGTTGGAAACTATCATTAATGCATTCCTAAGCAAAACACTGTCTTGTTCCATCCTGTTAATGTTTTCAGCCCAAGGCTGCCTAAGTTCAGCATGAAAACTGGCAGGTCACAACACAAAGCTAGAAATATGAACTGGCATTTGATCTGGAAACCTGACCAGTTGGTTTAGAATTTTACAGTATCACAAGCATTGCCTCATCCACTTAGTGAGCCAGGAAGTAAGACTTCAATCCAGACTAAAGAAACCAAAGAACACAGAACAAGTTCCAACTGTTGAACTGCTTTGTTACAGTGAAGGGGGGCTTCAGTAATGGGAGGTAAAACACAGGCTTAAACTGTTTTACAAGTTTGGACCAAGTTTGTTTTCTCACCAGCTCACGGTAGATTCCATCCTCTCTGCTTTCAGTCCGTTCGACCCTGTCTTCTCGTCTCCTCGGCTGGAATGGCTCTCGGTTCCGGGAGGATAAAGCAGCACTGGATAAATTACTGCCTGCATTTCCTCCACCACCAAAAGTGCGGGGACCCTAATAAGGAAAAGAACATTAGGATCTACAGAGCTGCAGGGTTGGTCAAAACAATAAAGCCAATAAAAGCAGAACTTTGTAGTTGGCAATATAAATATGATTTTTAATTTACTCAAGTGTCAATGGCAATCAAGTTTAAGCTGACAGCCAATAAGGGGCAAGTACTTTTAAATAGAAGTCCAAAACTGGAATTGATAGGAGAAACAGCACCATTATTAACATGGCAAAAAAAGAGTGGTCCTGAAAATCAAATGTCCAACATGAAAGGTAGGAAATTATAGGTTAACTCATTATATTACTACAATTTTTTGCCTATGAAAACAGTTTAATATAATGAGTCCATAATATACAGAACAATGTGGGAACACACTAACAAATGTGAATTGCAGTTTTGCAATATCTTAAAATAATTAAGCACCCTGATGTTTCTACAACCATTTCAATAAGATGTGATAAAGACACAGACCCACTGTTAAGTAAGCCTTAAATAAGTGATGTATATCACATACCTCTTTGGTCTTGGCCACTTCAGCAATAGCTGCTGTACGCTGCTTTTCAAACTCGTCATTCTCATCAGTACCTTTGACCACACTCTGAGTTTGAAGGGTCTTCCTCTTGTCTAGCTCTCTGCTGTCTACTTCATCCTTCCTTGCACACTTCTACAGGGATCAAATAGAGAGAGGTGTTCTCAAAGATCCCCCTCAGTCATGTGTATCTCCTTAAGAAAAGAGCCGACGCACTTGAAAACTTCCATCTTTAGTTGAATTACATTAGACCTATAAAGTTACTTGCCATGTCTAAATTACACTCTAAGATTTTGTTATAGCAACCAAGAGCAAGCCAAATCCAAAGCTACCTCCATGCTCACAGTCCATGTTGTGAAACTCAACTGTGAACTGCATTATAGTATATATTGTAGCATATTTCAAAAATATCAACAATGACTCGTTAAGAATAAGGTGGAAACACAACACAGCCTACGTGTGTTTCATGACCATATGATGTTACAATATGGCACACTTATGAAACTAGAAGTGACAAAATCACTCAAATTTTTAACTTCCTACCTGTTAGTCACTAACAGTAATGGAGGATTCTCACCAGGATTATCTTGTTAATGAGTTATCAGCAAAAACATGTCAAATGTATTTTGTGTTAAGTGGTTACAACAAAAAATACATTATCCTCAATAGAGAATGTGAAGGTTACATCATGCTATGTTGACTGTTGGAACGTGGGTTGCCATTTTTGGAGGTACACGCTTTACCTGCATGCATTCTTGTTTTGTTTGGCTAAAAAGTTGCTTAAATCATTCAGATCTGGTGGTTGACTGGTAATTCAAGATGGAAAACCTTACCTGACTGTAGCTAACTTGGACCAATGGATGATGCCTACAAGAGCAACAGACTGAAAAATTACTCTGCATGCTGATCTGCACTCTCGGTTTGGGAGCTAACGCTAGCTAGCAGCTGTTGGCAGATAATACAAACACTGCAGATGACTCAATTTCTGTCCTGTCTGTGCTCAAACAGAACACTACAGTGGATGTTTGGATGTAGCTCTATGGGATAGCATTTATTGAGTGTAATGTATATATCTATGATTGATAATGAGTGTGATGCTCCAAACATAGTGCATTTACCCAAAATTCAAAGCGGCATGATGTCAGCTTCACGTTCTCTGTACTCCTGGTGGTGCTTAGCTGAGCAGATAGTTTAGGTTTTATTTAACACTGACATTTCTGCTGCCATTACAATGCACAGACCTCGCTGTGGACAGTTTAGCATTTCTTTTTATATTTGATTTTATATTAAAAACATTTCCTAAAGATAAATGCCTGGGAGCTCTGCAGATTAGCCAGGCTAACCAAGGTATCTGCACAACATACTGTACATGGATTCTGGAAGCACAAGGCAGATGAAACCAAACCTGTGTGCATACCTAGATATCACTAAGGTTAAGTGATAACAGATGTAAACAGGTTAGACTAAAGCTTACATGCTACTTTCTTTGCAACTGTCTTTGTTGGAATGCTCTGGAGTGGACCTAACTACACCGGTGAAAATGTTAGGAAGTCAGATCAATGGGGCAGAAAAGTTTTCCTGATAAGATTTAAAGTAAATTAAACTGTTCAAGGGAAAGAAAATCGAGTGAAAACTCAGTAAATCATGCCCTTTTAAAAAAAACATCCTTGCTGTGAAGCATGGACTGTATGTTGAAATACAGAAACAATTTAGGGCATTTTAATACTTTCTTGAAGGAACTGGGAATAGTCAAGTACTCTTTTCATGTCTAATATTATGTATAAATACCTACCCTTTGTGATAATATGATAAAAGGGTATTATTTATTTTAATGGTGCATTTTAGATACTTTATGAAATATTTAATTTTTTCTCAACCTTCCTACCAATTGCCACAGTATTTTATTTGAATACAAATGGGGAAAACTGTCATTGTTTGCAATATGTATGATAAGACAACAAAGCAAACATGGCATAATTAAAATTCAGTCATGCATTTTAAAGATTCATGAAGACTGAGAATTAGTTTAACAAGATCAGAGAGGACACTGCTAAGAAAAGGGACATCAAGACCCACTCGTGGGTTTGGAGCCCTGCATACATTGTGAGCTTACTGTTATTTAGCAGTACAGTACCTCTGACTTCTGTTAAATCACTGCTGAAATCTCATTTTCACAAACTTGCAATTTCCTGGTTGTATTATTTTGCTTGTTTGCTATTTTACATTCCTGTTTCTAGTTTACTGTTTTCTTCCAGTGTTTTTATATACAATTATTATTTTTTCTTCACCTGACCAAATGGCACAAAGGGAGGAGGTCCACCTTCTGCTCCAATGTTACTCCTGCTGTGCTTGGCCAGACTCTGTATGGTGAATGGTAAAGAGAGATCATTCTCGAAAACTAAGGAAAAATACAAGCTATCGAACATAATGAAAGACTGGTGGTGATGTTCCATGCAAAGTATGATTACCAACATATGAATTCAGTATTTTTCAGGAAAAGTAGCTGAGTCATATTACAAAATCGACCCTCACCCTTTGTAGCTCCCATTTCTCTACCATGTGATCAACCTCTCCTCCGAGGACAGAGATTTTTGAGTCATCGAGCAGCAAAAGACCATTTTTAACTTGGACTGTACCAAGGAGCTTTACCTTCGTTCCAGGGGGGGTATTAAGGCTGAAAAACAGTAAAACAATACAATATTTTGTTATGATAGGATGCTTCTTGCATTCATGTTTAACCAACTGTTTAATGTTAAAATACATTTGAGGGTATAAGACATTATAACTGCATATACCAAGCCCCATACCCTACTGCCTTACCTATACCACGTTATAAATGACATGGAGCAGTGCCAGGGGATGGGTGGCGAGGCTAGAAGAGACTATTAATAATCCCAGCTGCTCACCCATCCTCATGGTAAATTAAAAGCCCCTCTATCTCATCAGGCCTGATAAGGCCTCTGCCTCTCTCATTAGGAAAGCACAGGGACTTAGAGAGATTTCCAGCTACTGCTTCTGGATGCCAAAGCAACAATTAGAGATTTCACTCCAAACCTCTGGGATAGATGCTGTTCTCATGACAGCACAACAGAAGTGAGGCACTCTGTATCCTCGATTCAATCACATCCAACTAATCACCCTCTGATCAATGCTGCTACTTAATACTTAATTGTCATTCCTCTATATCACTGTCCCACACACTGAACAGTCCTGTAATCTATCTCATCCTTCGCTGGCACAAACTTACAGCCTCATGCACACTAAAACGGACACTTTCATAAGAAACACTAACCGCCGCTGTTGGTAGCTAATGTGTGCGTGTGCCGCTCATAAAGAGGGGATTTGTTCTGTTCTCTCCTCTCTTCCCATCAGGAAGTCAAGGCCCACATTCTGGCCACTCCACCTGTACAGACTGGCTAGTCACCATGGCAGCAGTCACCAAGGCCACCGTTGCTGCGATGGAGATGTAATTAAGGCTGGGAATTGTTAGATCAGCTGCCACCATGTGGAAATTGCAGATAAAGGAGGAATTAACGCATGTAGTGTGGTGAGAGTGTTGACAAGCAGGTGGAGGAGAATGAGGTGTAAAGAATCATAAACATTTGCTTCAAATATACATAGAGAACTGGCATCTAGGTAGCTCCTAGAAATATAGGGTTTGTTTTTTACTTAGTTATTACTTATTATTTAAACAGGATAACTAAAGTTATTTGTCTGTATTCAATACTAATATTATCTTCTAAGACAATTACAATACAATACTTGCAATTATGTCACTAAACCTAATATATTCCTAAATGCAACAAAACTCTTATTTAGATACCTGATCTTAGACAGGTCCTTATACTCTAATCCAACACAGGTGGTATGTCCATCTGTCATTTGCAGGCGCAGCATTCTCAGGGCACTCTGGGACTCCTCATGGTCTTTAGGAGCTGAAATGTTCCTCACCTTCTGCAATTGGAGAACACATGGACCCTCCAACTGGCCATGTGTGTGAGACAACAAAAAAAATATGGCTTAGAACGGCAAATGAGCAGCATGCAGGGCAACACTGAAACACAAGCAAAAGCTAAGGCATCATCCATTTAGCATATCAGAGACAACAAAAGGAACATTTGGTTTAAAAGCTTTTATCAGATCTAGCCACTCAATGATTGTTTCTAATTCTGTGACAAGAAATGTGTAACATTAATATACATACAATACTACAGTCTACATGTAGTCTGCGACCCCCTTCGGGACTAAGCGGTATAGGCACAGTAGCAGAGCGTATGGCCACAGTGACATGAGTGGGCATCTTATGCTGAGCCTGAAGGGAGCAGAGGTTGAGCTCACACAGAATTACATGATTTAAGCCTATGACAATACTGGAAGCAGTTTTCTCTCCAGCTTCACACGTGAAGCAGCAGCAGCTCTTTTAGCTCATTGTTAATGTGCTGGGGCCATCTAGTGGCACCCATGAGAAGTGCATTTGAGATCTTAACTTGAGCCTGCAATGCACTCAACTTTGAGCTATAAAAAACAGTGAGCACAGCGCACCATTTTCATTAATGTAGCATTGAAATGGCCATATTAGAACTTCTCTACCACTCACCTTGGGAAAACAAAAAAGTCCAGCAACACTTGCAGTGTTTCATGAGAAGACCGGTCTTGGCCTTCTCATTAAACACTGTACATGTTGCCTGACTTTTGGTTTTCTAGTTTTGTTTTTTGTCCTTGTCTGTGCACCTTGACAGTGAGTGAAGTTGTGCCAGAACATTCTGCTGTATCTGTACCACTCACCTTCTCAGTTCTTCCACTATTGATATCAGATGGTAGAACCTTTCTTCCAACTGGCCTGAGATCAGCCTGTGAAGAAGATATTACTGAATTAATACACGATAGTCATAAGAAAATGAAATAACGCAACAGAGTTTGTTTGTAACCAAATTCATCCTTAACATCCTAGAAACTCCATACTGTACCTTCAATGATAAAGAGTACAGTTTGCTGTGAGTCTGGTGGAGGTCCACTCTTTAAACTACTAGTCCTGTCTACTGGATGTTAATTCTGGGTCACATGCAAACCACTGTCTTAGTTGAAAGAAACTAGATTTAACGACAGCTGCAATTTGGTTGTCGAATCTTAAATCGGGATCCATCTTAATACCTAATTTTAAAATATTCTTTTTATTATATTGAGCCAATGAGCCCAAGTCAACAGATGGTGAACCAACAGAATCACCAAATACTATCACCTCAGTCTTATCCTCATTCAGCTTTAAAAAGTTAAAAGTGAGCCAAGATTTAATGCCATCCAGACAGATGATGACTAGCAACATGCTAGCGTTAACTAGCACACATAACTTACTAGCTAACCTTAGCGAACTGGCTAGCTAGTTGACAAAATGAACGCAGCTAACATTAGCTACCTGCCCTGGCTAGCTGTAGCTTCTTCTAGTTTGATAGCTGGACGTCCACCCCTATGTGCATGCTCCAGCTTGTCCCTCAGAAGTCCACGCAGCTATTCAAGTCAAGTCGAGTCAAGTCAAGAATCTTTGTCATTATGCATAGCACAATGAAATTTCTTCCAGCAGCTCTTGGCTTAAAAGGCACATTATTTACATAACTAACACAAAAATTGCACAGTCAATATAAAAATATGAACAGATATAAATTAAGATGTGTAGGACCTAACAATCAGGTCAACAGCATATTAACAGAAGAATATAGTCCCATTCTAAAGTGCAGCTCAGTGCAAATCTCACTTTTGAGAAGAAGTGTGAGCATGTGTGTGCATCTGCAGGAGTCCAGTATTCTATCTGTAACTGTCTGTGGGGTGGGGACGTTGTGTGTGTGTGTGTGTGTGTGTGTGTGTGTGTGTGTGTGTGTGTGTGTGTGTGTGACGGGGGGGGGGGGGGGGGT